AGCAGACTTATTTGCAAAACAACATAATTCATCACATTCACAATATTTTAACTACACAAGCATTTACAATTCACATCATATAATTTCTTGGGATCAGCATTTTATTGAACATCCAACTAGAAGTTTTACTAAAAATATTTGTACAGCCTACATTCTAACAATGTAGTCCTCCCAAAAATGTAACATGGAATAGAAAGCCCTAATTCCTCAAATTAACTGAAAATCAACTTAGTTATTTTTTAACCATAACCAAAAACCAACTCATAATATCACTAACTTTAAACTTAACCATCTTAAATCATTTAAAATCAAAATTTTATTAAATGAACTTCCTATTTACTTTCACTTTCACAAAATTTACCTATATACATTCTACAATACTAATTGCTTCAACTGTAACCTTGTCGACTCCCCAACCCATTGGCATACATGCTCAAATCTATTACTCATTTTCAATATTATCCAAACCAGCATATCTGAATACATTAACTATATAAACCTTGATTTATCTATAAACCAACAAGAAGAACTTATTCACAAAATTAGTAATTACTATGCTTTCTATCCTATATCTCTCTAAAGAAATCAACACTACCTTGATATTACACTTATTTCTAAATCTTTAATTAAGATTATACAAAACTTTAACATTTCATACAAGCTAGCCTCACAAACAATTATTGCTATTTTGCTTAAAGTTAATGAAGTTTTCTATGAACAAATATAAAAACCCTATTGTATAAACTTTGCCAACTAGAAACAACAACAAGGACTTAGACCACCTTACACCAGACCTTCTACTCAATCAAATCAAAACAACAAAAGAAATTCTAATCACAAAAATTATACATATTCTTGTTTATGTAGACTACCTGACCAATTACACTCTAATTCTAATACCTGTCTACCTATCGGTTATGCTATTTGCAAAATTAACATCTGGACTATCCTTTGAATTAAATATAATATTTCCTATAACTATATTCTAAACTTACAAATCTAGGTGAGTCTTGACCACTCTAGTAGGTTTAGGTCACAGATAAATATATCTAAGCTTTTATTCTTGAATGTAGTTTTTCTTTTATTTGTACTTAGAGTAGCTATATAATTAGCAGTTTAATGGTCTAGCCCTGACTGCAAGTGTTGGTTTTGCTATAGCATTTATATAAAAAATTACTTTTTGTACATAGTAGCTCCATGTAGCTACTAACTTTTAAACTACTAATAAAGATATAAGCAAGGCATCACCTTAATACCAAAAAAAAAATATTTTAAAATCATTGAAATATAATTAGATCTTTCTTTATAAAATTTAGCTATCATATATTCAACATATATTTTGAAAACTTTTGGCTATAAAAGTCTTTAACATATTAACTTCAGTTTAATTGTCTTAAAACCTATTGTAGTCAAGTATATCAATATATTATTTTAGAGGTTTTTTCTATACTGATCTGAAAATGAAAGGTTCAATATTATTAAAATTTGGATTTCTGTAATTAATTAGTTTTAAGTATTAGATTTTGTAGTTTTTTAATATATAATAAATAAAATAAAAAGAAATAATTATTATCTTTTTTTCAAATTAATTGACTTGTTAATTTAGCAATTTCATCATTATAAGTACTATAAAAATTTTTAAATAATTGCTATAATTTAGCTAAAACTTCATTTTTTTGGATATGTATTAACCATATTAGAAATAACAGTTTTTATTAGTTGGTACTCTATTGTGTAAAAATAAAATGCAAGATTGTTTAGCAAGGAGCTTTGCCAAATTAGGTGTATTAGTATCATTTAAAAAATTTTATTATATATTAAAATAAAAATTATAATTATAATTTTACAATATTATATTATATAAATTAATAAAGTAAATATTATAACTAATCTTGTTAAATAATATATTATTATTATTATTATTTAAATTTAATGCCTGTAATGCTAAATCCTTATGTGTTTCTAACTATTGAAGGAGTTGTGCTTCATCTTAAAAAAAGAGTCTATTTTTTAATTTATTAGATAAATAAAAATTAATATAATTTGTGTTTGGCACATTTAAAAGAGAATATAATAGTTCTTTAAAAATTAAAGAATTAAAATATTTATTTTTTGAAAATTTCTTTTTATTATTAGCAGATGAAAAATACAAGCATTTATTAGATTGTTTAAAAAAAATGATCTTTTGGAGCTTGTTGTTTTTCAATATTAATACATTGATATTGCTTAATATAGTTATTAGGTTTTATTAATTTAATTGAAGATGAGCATTGTTAATAAGATAAAGGTAAGCATTGTTAATGTGATAAAGGTAAGCATTATTAATGAATAGAAAATAAGTATTGTTGATAAATAGAAGATAAGCATAGTCAATATATTGAAAGTAAGCATTGTTGTTAATAGATTAAAAGTAAATATTGTTGTTAATAAATTGAAGGTAAGCATTGTTGTTAATGGATTGAAGATAAGCATTGTTGTTAATAAATTGAAAGTAAGCATTGTTGTTGACAGATTAAAGATATGCATAAATGTTGTCAATAAAATGAAGGTAAGCATGAGTATTGTTGATAAGATGAAGGTAAGCATAAGTATTGTTAATAAGATAAAGTTAAGTATAAGCATTATTAATAAGATGAAAGTAAGTTATTTTGTAACAGCAATTTATATTAGTAGCTAGTAGTATTTGTTAATGTTAAAGATTCAATACTAGTTGCAAATATTGAAGATTCAATACTATTATTTTAAAATAGTTATTGTAACTCTTGTGTCTCAAGATTAATATTAATATTTTCTTTTAAAATATTAAAAAATTAAACTTATTTTTTATTACAAATATAAGAAACTTTTTTGTTTTGTTAAAAATAAAAAACTATTAATATATCTTTAATTTTTGTTTGACATGTTGTTTGTTGTTTTTTTGTTTTTAAAATATTTTGTACTTGTTGTATAATCTTTGCTTTTGTGCATCTTGTTACTCTTTTAGCTACAAAAGAAAAGTTTTTAAGTTAATAGTCAATATAGCCTATTATATAAAAATAAAAAATAATATTTACAAGAGTCTAACTTTCATGTCATTTTTGGTATAAAGATTCAGAGATTCTAAAGAGAAAATAACTAAAAAAAGTCATTATTTATATTTAATCAATATATAATCAATATTAATAAAAATTTTATTATACAATTATCTAATTTAATTTTATGACTATATACAATAAATTTATAGTAATACAGTATAAAATTACTAAATTTAAAAATATATGTATTTCAAATTGTTAAATTAAAAAAATAGAGCAGTTGAAGTATCAAAAAGTGAATTAATATGAATATTGGAAAAGTTTTCTGCAAAAAAAAAACAGTATCATAATATACTATATTAATCAAAAAATATTTTGTTTTTGCAAAATATTATTTAAAACAAAATTATAAAGTATATAGAAAAGTAATTGAATTTTTTTTGTCTTTTAACTATTATTTAAAAAAAACTATTATTAGTATTTTATTTATTATACAGTATATTAGTAAAATATTAATATTAATAAAATTACTTTTGATTTAGTTAATAAAAGCTGTCTATTCTTTCTTTCTAAAGTTTTCAAGCAAACTTATTTTTACATTATTGACTAAGTCTAAAGTAGTCTAATTGTTATTTAATGTTTTAAATAATTGCATTAATCTTGGGTCTATTATAGTAAGTGTGTTAAGTTTTCTTAATAAATTGTGTCATAAAATTCAAAAATATTTATTAAAACTTTTGTTTAATTTTATACTTCTTTTTCTTTTTTATTCTTTTTTATAAGCTATATGTTTAATATTGAACAGATCAGATTTCTTGAGTTTTATCAATTGAGGTTTTACTAGTCAAAAATAAATGCATTTGCATTGCTAATTTCATGCCTTTAGATCTAGTAGCAAGGTTTGAAACCCATTCTTTTAAGAAGGTATAGGCTTTTTTAAATTTATATAAGAATCTTAAGAACATGTATCTTATTACCTTTAAATAATATGAACTAATATTAACTTTATGAATTAATTTGTAACTTATTATCATAAATGTTAAGAAAATTGATATTTGGTTAGATACTTTAGTATTATAATTTAAAAATGATTAACAATAAGACTAAATAGTAGTTTTAGTGCCATTTTTAATAATAAGATTGCATCTTATATATTTTTAGTTTCTTTTATTAACAGAGATATTTTCTGCTTTTTTATTAATGAAGTTACTTTTTGTTCTTGAAATAGCTTTAGTTTGAGAGCTCTATAAATTAATAAAATATTAAATTGAATAAATAGATAAAGTTTTTTTGTTAGATTATTATTTTCAAAAAATCAATTATGTTCCTATACTACTCCATTTTTTTGATCTCAGAATTGGTGTTAAAAAATAGAGTTATTATAGGCAATCTATTTTGCAAAAAAAGAAACTCATGATATAAATTAGCTGTTTTGAGTTTATTACTATTTAAAAGTTCAATTTTGAGAAAATTTTCATATTTAGTATAAAAATCTAAAGTGTTTGTCAGATTATTATCATTTTGGTTTGTATGTATAAATTTTGGCCATTTGAGTTTATTGACTACTTCTTTAATTACTTTATAATTTGCTAATTTAAGAGTCTTTTTAAGATCTTTTTTAAATTAGATTCAAGTACTATTGAAATTAGTACTAAACTACAATTTATAATATTTAAATTAAATTTTTTTACTATATTTTAAAATCTTGTAAACTCAAAACTGCATAGTAATAAAATTTCTTTTACAGTTTTAATCATTTATTCTAAAAAAAAATTATATATTAATTAATTAATTTTTTTTAATTTTTTATTTAATTTTTTTATTTAATTTTTTTATTTAATTTTTTTTTTAATTTTTTTTAATTTTTTTTAATTATTTATTATATATATGTACTATTTCTTAATGTTTTATATTTATTTGTTTTTTTTTTTTTTTTATGATGCTAGGTTCTTTATTATCTATTTTATTAAATTTTGCTATATTTATCTAATCTGTCTCTTTAATATCTCCTTTATATATTTTATTAACTTTTTCTTTAGCTTTATAGTTCATTTTTTCTTTATATATTTCATTAACTTTCTCTTTGTAGTTATTCTCTATTATATTAGCATTATCTTCTTTATTATTATATTTTTTACTATCTTTTTTCTTTGAATTTTGATTATTATTGTTATCTAAATTTTGCTCAATTTTATTTTTTTAATAACAAATAAATTAGTCATATTAGCAAATATAAGCATTATAACATATTATATTAATTAATTTATAACTTTATTCAATAACACTTTTAGTTTATCAAATTTGCTCTATATTTGTTATTTCCTTAACTAAGCATTTCACTAATCTCAAGTATCATATCTAGTTTGTTAGCTGCTTTACTTTTAAGTTTCATTATATCTTTACTTAATTCTATAATTTGAAAATTAAAAAATCTTTTGGTTTCATTTGAATAATATATATAACAAAATTTTTGCAAGTCATATAGAACTTGTTAAAAACAAAGCCAAACTCAGTTGTACAATTTCTACTAATATATTACTTCACTTCTAGCTATACAATATTTGTAACATATAGGATATTCAACTACAATATAATATTACAAATTTTACCAAAAGACTTAATTCTTCTGATCTATTAGGAATAAATACTAATATAGGATTTAACAACTTCAGATCAAAAGCTTTTATTATAAATCATTTTACCAAAATTGGACAAAAAACAAAAAACTTTCTAGCAAAAATATAACAATAACTACTAAGTAAACTGACTTTGGGTTCTTAATTAAACTTGTTTCAACATTGAACTTAACTTAAAAGAGGTATTAATCTTAGAAAAATCTCGCACTAGCAATCCTGAACAGCAAAAACATCAAAAACAATACTGCAAAAAACAACTTATATTTTAACAAAAACAGTTCTAAGGATCTTTACACTTTTATCAACACAGCATACAGACACAAAATGTTAGCTCCAAAAAATATCAAAAAAACAGTAAAAAACCCATAAACCAACTCATCACAAACTCTAAACCAATCAATTTTCCAGAACACTTTTTTCTCTTTTTCTTTAGCTTATTTTATTAAAAAACCTGCTATTTCAAAGAATCCTTCACTTACAATTTCATCTACTAACCCTCTTACTGAATATGCAAAAGAGTTTATTAGTATTAGTATAAAAGACTTAGTAAAACTCATCTTTATAGTTACCTTCTTTGTCTCTAATTTTGTTGACAAATATCTCTTTACAGTTGATTTACTAAATCTAGTCATGTCTTTAACCTTATTACCTTTCTGACACAATGACTGTACAAGCACAAAGAAGTCACCCAATCAATACTTTATGACTTTACAACTACTAGAAACAACTCTGTAAATATTAATGCCAAATTCCATAGAAATGCATGAAATTGTAATCTTAGCCTAATTATTAGCTATATAAGAAAGCATAAAAGCATATAAGATACCCAAACATAGTAAAAACCTCCTTGTAATACCTTACAATATGATTACAGAATTAGACATAGATGAAGAACTATTACAAACAAGTAACCTTACACAAGAGAATAATTTAATATTTGAGCTTATTGCAGGTACAACAGTAAAAATACACAAACTTAGCCTACATTAAATGCATCAAACAACACCACTTAGGCTGAACACAAAACCCATACTAGAAGAAATAAATGCTTCTCTTTTTCACAACATACAAGTACAGGAATTAGCAAATTATCAGCAAATACAAATTAAACAACAACTGATCAACATCAAAGCAAAAAATGACCCAAACTACAACTACTCAACACAGAAGGATTACCTAATCCAGAACCTTCTAATAACATTGCAACATTATCACCAACATCTATGACAATAATATTTAATACATAAAATACTACAAAGTCAACCTATAGTTAAATTACACAAAAATAGCTCAATATATCTCAGTTTCATTACATCGATAACTCTGAATAGGCAGATATCTTGCATGCCAAAATAACTAACAAAATTAACACACTATTTGATCAAAAAACCTAGATCTATGAAGCAATAGCTAAAGCATTTTTAATACCAACTAGAATTCATGATTTTGTTAATCATAAACTTATTACTATGCCAACTCAATTCACAATTTCACTAACAATATTTCTCAAATTTAAATATCTTACCAAAAACCCAAATACTACTTCAGCACCCAAAATGAATATACTAACCTATACAATAATGTGTTAGCTATCTATAAACAAACTAACCAAATATAGAAATTAGAAAACTCTTTCTACAAATCCATTACACAAAAATTAACTAAAAATTCGTCCGTAAAAAAATACTTATAACTATTTATTTTACTAAGATAATCTGCCTTGGGCTCTTAAGTAAAGTTGTTCAGCTCATCATTTTACACATATTCTGAAAATATTAAGCTTTTACATTTTAAACTCAACGAGAAAACTGTACTGACGGCCTTTGGCCTCCAGTTTACAACTTTTAGCTATTTAGCAGTTTCTACTGC